CTCCACGATGCCGTACTATTCCCACTCTTTGCCCCTTTCCCGGTGTGTGTTGTCCATTTATTTGCCACTACAAAATACATGAGATGACCTCGTTTTCCACATGGCCGTGGGTCAAAACGGGGCACCGTGGTTGACTCAGCGAAAAAGGAACTGAACAAACTCCTATATAAGGAGGTCCACCTACGAGTTCCGGGCTCCGGGGAACAGCGTCTTCCCACTCCCCTCCCACCTGGCGCCGTGGGTGTTTCAGGCACGGCGGCTTGGCCGTGCCACAGCGGCGCGACCCTTCGATGAGGAGGAAAGCCGGGCGCGGGCGGAGGAGGCCGATGGCGAGGAGGAAATGGAACGACACTCCGCGCCTTGGAGATGTCAGCGGAACTGGCGTTGGATGAGGATCGGCGTAGTGTTGGGCGGCTTACGAAGAGGGTTGGGAAAGAAGAGGAAGGTGGATGAGAAAGGGAAAATGGGAATCTTTGGTGGGGGTGGAAGTGTTGAATGGGGCGGGGAAAAAGGGTTTGAAACCATTTGAGTTCGGTGGTCCTCTGAAGCACCTCCTCTCTCAAACTGGAACCATTCTGCCAGCAATGTTCCAATACTTCCTTGCGTGCAGGATATCACCTAATCAGCCTCGGTTTGGATACCACCATGGATTCGGATGGATTCTGCCAAATTCATCGTCCGCTTCTTTTGGCCGAACTCCAAGGATGTGAGAAGCCGAACTGATGAGGATGGAAGAAGACGACGCAGATTAGATTGGCCCAGGCCGATCGCTCGAGTCCAGCTCAATGAAATCCAGGAGCTCAATGAATGCACGGATGAAGTTTGGGAAGAAATGCCAATGAAAAGGATAAGCACATGGACAAGCATGTCACAGGGATGTTTTGGCCAACCTTGTGACCAAGGTCTTTCGAGAGTTGCTTCCTGGTCTCCTTTTACAACCCTGCATCCCCTGCATCCCTCACCTGGTGACCGCTCAGCCTCCTCACGGGGTGAGGCACAGCCGGAGCAGCTCGGAGGAGGGTCAACGTGCTCAAGCACCCCGTGCCACTGGCAGCGCTTCCTCTCACATTCGTGTGGAGGAGTTGGCCCAAAGCCGAGTTGGACGCTGAGCTTGGTTGGGAAAGTTTTGCGCAAAGAATTCGAGCGGGGGAAAGAGAGAGACTTGCGAACTTGGCGAACTGGTTTGATATGGTCTTGCATGCGCAATGATATCTTATTAATATGATTCATGATAGCTTACTATATTTTTCCATGTGTTGCCAATGTATGTTTCGCATGCCACCACTGAAAGGCACGTTCATGTGGGAACGCCAGAAGAGATAACAGTTGTTGAAGCCTTTTGGAATGGTTCAAGTATGTCACGAAGGATGCTGCTCGATGGGCAGGTTTGTTCTTGTTCGTTGTGCGGGGTGACTCTCAGTGCGATCCTCCAAAGTTGGAGAAATCCTGGTCTTTCTATAGGGTTTGTCCCGTTTCGGGCTCATGTCCAGTGATAGTCGGTAAAAGACTATCACGATATATCACGATGCTCGAGAAAGACCTTTACTAACAATCCTCGTCCACGGTTAATTCATACCGATGATGGCCCAAACAAAGCTTTTCCTCCGATCTCGTCACCACGCTGGAAGATCTACTTGGATCCCTCCGTCCAGAACTGGCTTCGAAGCCTTCAGCTGCCGGTTTTGCGGCCTTGCTTCCGCTCGCCCTCAGGAAGCAAGCAAAGCTCCAAAGGCCTCAAGGGTCAGACTCCACGAGAAAGATCCTCAGATGCAGCGAACAGGGGTTCCCCAGTGAGTTCCCGTTGAAGAGTGAAAGCGTTGAACGGAGGCTTTTTGGAGCTGCTAGATGTGGCAACTGCTTTCGGGAGTTTTTCCTGCAAGGGATCCGTTAACCTTGGGTTACCTTAGGCATGGTTGGTAGGAGTTGTAGTTGTAGTTGTAGATGTAGTTGTAGTAGTTGTAGTTGTAGTAGTAGTAGTTGTTGTTGTTGTTGTTGTTGTTGTTGTTGTTGTTTAGCAGGTCATGCGAGGAGCATCTAAGCTGATGATGTGTAAACTTCCGCAGTGCACGTCGAATGCACAGACCACATCTTGGTTTGGTAAGACAAGTTGAATCAAATCTCTTGCTGCCATGTTGCCATGTGGTTGTGGAAGATCGTACACATGTGTTTCAACACAACAGAGCACTCTCAAACCTACAGCCATTCAAACACCTTTTCTTCACACAGCGAGCTATTTCTACAGCCGTTTCCACGTCGCTCTCCGGTTCGAGCCCAGGAGAGGCCTTCCTCTTGGAGGATTCGCCGGAGGCGTCAGATCTGCAGAAGTGGACTGAAGACCTACGGCGATGGGCTCAGGAAGTGGCCTCTCGGCGCGGAGGGACTGGCGGGCTTGGGCGCCACGGAGGGACTGGGGGAGCCCCGTTCGTAGCGTCCGATCGCTCCTGGTGTGGTCAAAGTCCGGCTTGGTCACTCCGAGCACTGGGCGCTGATGGAGCAGTTTGACACTTGTTCTGAGTGTGCAGACTGGGTTCCAAGACTCTCCATGTGGAAACCAGGCCCATCGTGTACGTGTTCCGATCCAGCAGTTGGAAGTGCAGACATTAGCGGGGCGAGTAAGCCGTTACCAGTCCCCGAACACATCCGAACACAGTTGCTGAATCGCCATTTTTGGCAACAACAATGCTGGCAACGCCGGAACTATATTGTCTCACCATATGTTCCACGAATTGCTATGGGCAACAAGCATCACTCTTGCTGACGTGCCGCTTCTCCTCTTCGAGGATGTGGAGGATGAGCTCCCTGAGGCGTCACGCGATTCAGCCACCTCCAGGCACCTCTTCCAGCGATTCGCTCACGAGAGCAGCATCAGGTAACAGCACCGGACTGTGCCATCTTCTAGCAAAACCTGGTAGTTTCTTCTCCATGAAGCTTTTGTGGGTGAGTGATCGTTAATGATGTTTTTCCATGTGTTCAATCATGTTCAACCCCAGCTCACGGGCATTCACTGGCATTCCTCATGTGATCGAAGCCCATCACAGGCGGAATTCCTGGATGAAGGAGGCCGTGGAGGATTCCTGGAGGCAATCGCTGGCGTGGGAGAAGGCCAGAGTGCTGCTGATTGCTTGGTGGGCCGTTCAAATTCAGGTTTGGAGAGGTTCAAATCTGTTGAAACTCCCAAAGATTTGTGGCCATATTGCCTACTCCTAGTATGTTGGTGTTTGTACGTTTTGGGCATCCTTCTCGTGCTTGTTTGGGAACTTCCTGACGTCGTACCATACGACGTCCAGACGATCGGTCGGGCCGTGCGCCGTCGCGCCAGTCGGACCCTGCGCAGCCGTGCCTGGCGGATCCGAAGGGAGTCAAGGAAGACGAGGCATGGCTCGCTTGGTATGCCATGTTGGTTTTTTGCGCGATGTGAGGGCTCAATGCATGCTGAACACATTGAAGGTTCGCAAAAAAAGCATTAAAAAGCAGAACATTGTGCAAGATGTTTGACGGTCATATCCAAGCAATTGCAACTGGTTTGAGTGTTAAGTAGTTAAGTTGGTCCATGTCGTTAAGTTCTATAGCTCTTTAGCTCACCACCAGGGCCTTTTTCTGCTTCGGCTGCTTCGCTGCAAGGACTCCGAGGATGCGGCTTCAAGGCATGAAGCGGCCACACGCTTTGTGGAAGCCTTCAAGGTGGGGATACCGAGCCATAGGCTCCGCACTCAGCCGTGTAGGTAGGGGAGTCGGTTCTTGGTTGTGGACAAAGGTCATATATGGTCAAATGCTTGAAGGATTTTAATGTATTGATCATTATCGATCATAATTATATATAATTGCTATATATATATATATGATATATGTATGTAGTATGTTATACGATTCATAATATTGTTTGAAGGATGCCATTTGCTCATTTGTGTAATAGCACGAGTGGTCAGCAATGATTGCTTTTTGCATGGATCCAACCCTGTAGCCTTCACTTGGGTGAGTCTAATGCAAGAAGTTTGAGGCTGCAATCAGAAATGGGCCTATAGCCTATAGCAAAATCGAAAAAAATTGAAATGTGATGTATGTAAGGCACATCTGTATGGCAAGACTGTAGCCCTCACACCTCCACAACATTCGGGCTACAAGCCGTGAAGCTAGGATTCCAAGGCCAAGGAGTTCAAAGCCAAGGTCGGTCAAGGCGAGAATCCGGCCAGGAGGGGTCCGGCCAGGAGGGGTCCGGCCAAGTGCGCACATCTTTTTGGTTTGCTGACTTGTGAATTTTGCTGTTTTTGTTTTCGGTTCATTTGCTTCCGTCTTCCCAGCAAGCCCCGAAAGTGAGAAGCAAAGTCAAACACCCCTTTGTTTTGTAAGTCTTGATGAAGCGATGTGAGAATGTGCCCAGGTTCTAGCATTCTCATGCATTTTCCATCGTCACACACACAATCCATGCACTCAAAAATGGATCCAGTCATATCAAACCAATAATTCCACTCAAGGTGAGCCGCCACACTTCTCTCAAATCAGCCCAATCACCACGACTCCCTCTAGCCATGAGCACTTGGCCCTCACTCTCCGCCCTCACTCGGTGAGGCGTGGTCTTTCAGCCGACCCAGCCGAGCACCCGGCCGCAGCCGCAGCCGCAGCCGCAGCCAGCTGCCACGGTGCCAGTGCCGGTGCCAGCCAAGCTGGCAAGGCCCAAGACGGAGCAGGACCGAATGGAGCTGGAGCCCCTTGGCTTCAGACCGCTGGAAGGAAAATCGAAATGAGTATACTACCTGCAACTACTCATGTCATTGGTACCAACAAGTCCTAAGTCATTGGTCCTCAGTAATTATAGAAGGATGTTGAGTTCAAACACCGCGCATTCCCCTCTTCCCGTCTGAAGAAAACGGCCGCGCGAAAGGCGCCCGACGGACAGAACGTCTGGACGCTCCGTTGAGGCGATCGACGCGACGGGCTCTGGAAGAGGCCGAGTTTTGGGATTTGCCGGTGGAGGAGGCGCTGCGCTCCTTGAAGGCTCGTGGCTACCGCAGTCAGGAGAGATGAGCATGATGCGGATGATGGACTCGGATGGAAGGTGCGTTTCCTGGTTGGTTGGTTCAAGAGGGAGGGTGGATCATGGACTAAAACACACATGATAAATGTCAACCAGCTCTTTCGTAGACTTTGGAATGTTGCCACTTAGACTCTCCACAGATGACACACCTGGACACTGGCGCCACTCCCGCCCCTCGCCCCTCCAGGAGCACACCAAGCGCATCGCCGACGCCTTCGAGCGCCGCAAGTCCCGGCGGCGACCGGCCGCGGCGCCGAGCGACGCACCGCGAGCTCCGGTCGCTCCGTTCGCGGGGCCAGCGGGACCGGTGCTAGGACCTGTGGCGCTGACAGGCACAGGTGTGGATTCTGGCACGGGGAGGGGCGGATGGTTTCGGGGTTGACAAGGGACTGTTGATGAACGCAAGGACTTGGATGGGCCGAGAAGTGTGTAAGCAGGCTTCTTATTCACAAATTTCACAAAGTGATTGCATGATATTGCATGGTCATGTCTTTCTTGACTTGTGGGTTGGCTTACCTGCCTTGTTCATGTCACTCAGCTCCATTTGAAGGGAAAAAGGTGGTCCCATTCAGCGGTTCAGAGATGGATCCAAAAGACACTCTCGGAGCAAAGGGCATCGCTACGAACGGAGCAATCCTTACGGAGCCGATCCTTGCTCGCTACTATGGATGTTTGCAGTTGAGCCCCACAAAAAGGCAGCCACGCGACCTCGGTGGGACTAGATGAAGAGGTTGGACACCAGAAAGGCACACCAGAAAGGCTGCGCACCGGTCAGACTGGTCGGACACTGCTCTGGGTGAACCCGACGATCCAGGCTTGGGCAAAGGACCCTGGCTTGAACAGCGACTCCCAAAGCCACAGGCGGGAATGAGACAGAACGGCTGAGTTGGTTGCATCAGGGGTACTACAAGATATTACAATTCACATGGAAAACATCCAAAAATATATGTGAAGTATTTATATAGTTGAATCATACTATCACCATCTATCACCACCACTCCATCTCTTCATTCTTCATTCCATTTAGAATCATCCTGGCGTAGTATAGAAGGTGAACCACTCCAAAAACATGACCCGTTTCCCAAGTGTCTTTGTGGATGTTCTATATCAGTCCAGCCACCGATCCTTCCCGACACGACCCGACCCTCCAGGTAGCGTCCATCCAGCTGCACCTCAGCGACGACCTCAGCGAACAAGAGGCCCAGCGCTTCCTCCAGGCCGCCGCCCAGGCCGCAGGCGTCGACCCTCGACGCCTGCGCCTCAAAGGCGTCTCGCGCACGGCCGCGGCGCCGCCGGCGCCCCCGGCGCCCCCGCCCCCGCACCCGGCGGGGTCGGGGACCAGTCGGCCGGGAGTGTGAGGTACATAGGCCATAGGCTCAGAGGCCAGGAGTTGTGTGGGAATGTCCTGATTCCTTGGAAGTTGGAAATAGTTGGAAGCAGTCGATGTCCATATAAGATCTTATAATTTAGAAGTCACGCCGGCCCCAGCAAGATGTTCTGATTTTGCCGGATTGGTCCAAGAATTCACTCATGTCAAAGCACACACATGCACCAAAGCTCCAGACCAGGTGTCGTCAGGTGTACCTTTTTTTGTCGGCACTGTGGCCATCCAGCAAAGTCTCAATGCATCTCAATGCGCTTTGCAGAGCAGACATCGCCAAAATTGGTTTTTCACAGTTCTATCCCCTGCAGTTAAGCATTTTGTCATTGCAGTGCACTGCATATTTGTGTGTTGGTTGTTTGTGTAGCCTATCAGATTTATTGGCTTTGCATGGGACCTGTTGGATAGACTAGGAAGGCATCACCCTGTTGCTCAAAGAACTACTTCGCTGTGTGAGTGTCTTAAACCGAGAATGGTGCAATTTGTTTGGATTCGCTTGGGAGATCTTGGAGGTGAAAGAACTTATGGCGATTGAAACAACTCCTGGCCCATGATTTCGTTGATCTCGCCCAAAGTTCTAAATGGCGATTGTACATTTCAAACCATGGAATTCAAAGCGCGCCGGCAAGTGGAAGCTTTAAAGCATATGGCAGCCTATCGAAACATGAAGCCTACAGAATGTGATTGCGAGAAGAGATGTCGGACACGGATTCTCTTGCAACTCCATTGACTACAGGTATGCCGACAAATCTTATGCCCTTCTGAACTCGTTTGAACTGATCACACACACACACTTGCAATAAGAATATATTCCAACATAACATTGACATGACTGCTCGGCAGCAGTCCACAAAAAGCAGAGAGTCGTAGAGAACCTGCCTTTTACAAATTTGATTATTTAAGTGTTGGAAGTGGTCGTTGGAAGTTCTTCCTCGGGGTTCATTTTGTTCACACTTGTAGCGGTACTTGGGACGCCGATGTTGTTTGTTTCGGAGTTGTTTTCCTTGCCGATGCTGTTTGTGAACGAAGAACGCTCCTGAGCCGCAGGGTCTTGCAGGTCGTGTTTGGAGCTTTTAGAAAAGAATAGAATTGCACACAGCTTATGATTGGTTAAGCCCCCTCTTCCTCCTGTGAATATTGTGAAACGATATGTGCAACATCGTGCAATGTAAGGTTGACAAGACTTTGGTGCATCCGTAACATCCGCAACACCCATCGGCCGGACACATTTCACCGTGCGATGCCAACGCGCCGCCAATGGATTGTCAAAAGGTGCCGCAGCAAACGGATTCTGAATCCACTGATTGTCCAGTTGATCCAGTTCAGCAGGTGTGGAGGTTGCCTTCGTGATTTCCTGCTGTACATGAATTCAACCTAGACCCTCCCAAAAAGGAACAAATGCATACACATGCACCATGCAGCTTGTAGATTCAGACGAGTTTGCTGGGAAAAGGTCAAAGAGACGAGGTGTTCCTTCCTTCCTTCTTGACACCAAATTTGGCTGTGGCTGTACCACTCTATGTAGCTTCTCTATAGTTGGATTTCCATTTCAGACCTGATTGATAGTTGCTGCATGCAGTGAGTTGTTTGACAAAACCACGTGAACGTTTGTGATTTGGTGAGAACGATGTGCCCGACAGGGATACACTTGTGTGTGGTTGGCAAGAAAGCCGGAGCCCTTCCAAATCCCTGGCAATAGATGCAAGATAGACAGAGGTCATTTGCCTAGAATTGGGATCACCTATTCCTCCTTTAGTCGGTCGACAAACACATGCTGATCTCCTGCTTTGGGTTCCAGTAAACGAAAGCAGCATGAGCATGAGCCACTGACAAAGCAATCAGGTTTGGGCACATCCTGTCAGGGAGAGAGGACACAAGCTTCCGCGGAGGCACCTTCATACTGCAAATTACAATAGCCTTTCAGAAAGGGGCGTGACAAGAAATCTCAGTTCCTATTCCTCAATGTCAAGTGCTGAAGTGCTGCTGCAATTTGATGCCCTCGCCCTCTCGAAAGTTGCATAAGGATCATAAGGTGCCCGGCAGCCTTGTTTGTTCTTGGGGCCATTCCCACACCAAGCAGCCAACAACAGCCGACAACTTTCAACCTACTAGCGACGGCCTCCAACCTACTAACGATGGCCTCCAACCTACTAGCGGTGGCCTCAACAACACATATCTTGCCTTGGTGCAATGGTGCTTGTCCTGCGGCAGCTGCCAAAGGCACTATGCTCGCAGACGAGCTAGCCACTGGAGGCAGCGTCCCAGGAAGGATTTCCAAAAGCGACGCACGGGTGGGACGCATTTCATGCACACAGAGAGGACGCCGAGAGCGCACGCAGAGAGGACGTGCACCGCAGGTTTTGGAAAGTGCAGAGACCGTCAATCCGACACATTTCTCTACCGCGATGGACGAAGATGAGATGCAACTCCTCAAGGCGATCGGAAGTGCGAGGTTTTCTTGCGACGTTAACATGGCAACAGCAGGACCTTGTCAACACTGGACGGTTGTGCCTGATGTAAACGATATCATAGGCCGGTCATTACTATATAAATAAATACATCTGAATACTATGCTCGAGCTCGATCTTGAATCAAGAATGGGGTTCCTTCAACGTTGCTATTGCAAGTCCCAAGGCAATATGTTGAAACTTCTTCAGGGGGGTTCACCAGGGATGCTCAGGCGATGTCGGGCAAGTCAATCTCCTCGTTCTCTCAGCCAAAGGAGGCGATGGAGACCATCAAGGGAGACAACCAAAAGCTCCGCCGGGTCAAACGACTGCACTTGGCGATGGGGTGACGAAAGAGTGTTCCTGGAGTGTGTGAGGAGAAGAAGAGTTCTACTAGGACTCTAGCATGACTTCGTGCTTGTGGTAAGAAAAACACTGTGCGGTCGCTTGGGATTTTGTACTACTAGTAGTTGGAACTCGGTAGGTGTTGGAATCTTAAGAAACAGCAAGTTAAGTTGGGTGGGGAAAATTCTTCGGTTCTTTGTGGAAGCCGGGGGGAAGGTTGGAAGGTAACAATCCTGGCCTGGACAATTCTGACTTCGAATGTGGATGTCAAGGATATCATCCCCAACTATTTCTTCACAGAGTGCCATGCGTCGAGGTCGAGTCGAGCGATTTCGATTCCAAGAGAGATGGCACGGTGGTTAGACCAACATGCAGATATTCCTTTGTGCATTCTCCTCTCCTTTGGTGCCGTTTTTTTTTCGTGCTTTCGTCGGTGGACTGTCGGTGGATTTCCATCGCGAGGCTGTCGTGATTGCCTTGTTTTTGTGAACTCCCTGAGCTGAGGCCTTACAAGCCTCTGAAGACGCTTGGCGGATGGAGCGATGTGGGACATGGTGGACGTCGCGGTGTCGTACGGGGTCGTGAATGGCATACCGAATGGTCGGATCAAAACAATCAATCCTATTCAACATATTCAGCTGAGTACCAAGACTCTGCTTATGAGAAAGTTGTCTCGGAACGTGTTTTGTCACCCAATTCTATGAACAGTTCTACAGGCGACAAAGTTGTGTGAACCCCATAAGCATCTATTAAATCTATTAGCACTGTAGCTGTTCACTTCCATGTTCATGTCCAACACCTGTGGTTCTGGGGTTGTGGGGCCATAGACATATCTCGTGCACAAGGAGTTCAAACGCTTGAACTTTAGGTCCACAAGAGGCAGAACCTGCTCTGTCCGTGCTTGACCTTGAGCCTTTGGGGGATTGGTTTGCAAACCACTGCCACATCTGGGAAGAAAGTGAGTTGAGATTGAAAGGCGAGCCTGAGCTTGGCATTTTTGTGCTTGAGCCACTCAATCAGGGTCCCCTCAGCCTCCGCTCCTTTTGGGGCCCCTGAGGATCGAGCCTCCACCCTCCAGAAGCAGCTGGCAGGTCGAATGATGACTGACAAGAGCCTTGCTTGGAGAAGTGTCCAGGGGATATTTTGAGGGGGGTCCAGCGGAGCACACAAATGCCAGACCGGCGCAGCGGAAGGTGATCCATGGATATCCATGGATTCTTTTTTTTGATCGACATGGCACTTCGAAACTGATCATGGTTCAGGTCAGTACCATCTATAAGCTCTCTTTGGTGCCGGAAAATAACCAAGAAAAACACGTGCTTTAGTGCTTTCTTCACACCTCTGGCCGAACACCTGGGCCGAGGACGGCCATCCAGCAGGCCTCAGGCTTGGCACAGATCCTCGCGGGCAGGTGCCGCGCCGTTGCGGAGCGTTGCGGAGCCGTGGAGACTCCGGGGGGATCGGCGCCGGAGCTCTTTCAGTGGTGAGCTCTTTCAGCGTGTTTGGTGTTCAGGAGATGTTTGTTTGGCGTGTTTGGGAGTGACTGGGGATCTCGAAAGGCTCTCTAGCATGTGGTGCTACTTCTCGTAACTGTCGTAACTCATGCTGGAGACACTCCAACAGTCGAGCAAGATGTGCGATGGGTATGTTCTTGCAAACACATGGTCAGTTGTTGGCCCAGTTTCTAGAAACATTGCAGGCGGAGTTGAAAGCTTGAGCATCCACGTTTCCTAGTAGCTTCTTGTTACTGATACTAGTAGCGATGGCCTCCACCAGCTTCTTGCTCCTAGTAGCGATGCCCTTTGTTACTGCCCATGGCCCATTACTGCCCTATTCTGTTTGCAAATTCAAGTTGGCCGGATGCGGCTGTCAGTTTCTATCCCGGGCACTATTGTGATGCCAACTGACGAGGCAAGAAAAAACTGCGCGTGGTGATCTGGATAGCCACTCACTTGGCACAGGACAGGGGAGGCTCAGAGGTGAACTCTTCACAGTCGTGCTCACATCCGCAGTGAGGCAGCCAAAGCCCTACAGGGCCTACAGGGCCTACATAGGACACAGTACACATATTACCACCAACAAGTTCCCACAGCTTTGCTTCATTTTCAGCTGATATAAGTGATAAAAGAGTCGAACGTAATCCGTGCGGCTTGCCGCACCAAAGGGGGGGGGGTCAGGGCGAACCATTCGCCGTCGGTCGGCCACGACCCGATCCGCACCGTGACGTTAAGAGCGATGGCCTCCAACCGTTCGAAGCGTCCTTGCCAATAGAAATGCCAGGAGCTACGTTCGTAGCGTTCTTGCTACTAGCGATGACCTTGTTACCAATAGCGATGGCCTCCAACCTTTATAATGGCTATATTAGACCGTTCTTCCTTTGTGTCACTCCCTTGAGGAGACCGCCTATGCCCATGCCCGCTATTGTTTGTCAGTGTGGTCACGCCACGCGTTGCTGCAACGACAGGCGCGGTGTGGCGTGGCGGTAGGCGAATGCTGGTGGCAAGGGTAGAACACCGAGCACTTGTTGCGATCCGCTTTAAAATAGAACGTCATGATAAGGTCCTGTGACAGTTTGCAGTTGGCTGTGCTTTGTGTGCTTTGTGAGCGAATTGACATTGGATGCAAGTCTTTGGAACCTAAGAGTCTGCACACCAGACCAGAAAACTGCAAGCGCACCGGCCACCAGGGTCGGCACAAACCTGAGCAGCTTGCCAACTCGGATGGTCGGATGGTCCAAACTTGGGGAGCTCATGAACCTTGAGTCCCCTTTTCGTGGTGGTTTGGAATTGGAGCTGTGAGGAGTTAAGGGCATCGCGAACCGAACGGAGCGATCGGACGCTACTGCTCCTGGCATTACTACTAGTAACAATTAAGAAGCTACAAACGGGGCTCCTGGCCTTACTACTGGAGCTATCGGACGCTACGAACGGGGCCCCTGGCAAGGCTACTAGTAACAAGGACGCTACTAGTTGGTGGAATTCTCCCACCTTCTGGAAACGGTGTCGGGTCCAAGGATTCGTGGGGTAGAACGAATGTCAACCAAATTCCATGGCGGACAAAAAAAATGGGTTCGATGGATTTTGATCGGCGTGGGTGTGAGGTCTGACACTGATGAGGTCTGTATGCATCAGCAGAGGTCCTCTTCTACTGTTCTAGCTAGTGGATTGGATCCTCTAGATATGATAGGCCTTTCGAGGACCCGTGGCTTCGCCGAGTATGGGGACAAGCCTCCAAGACCATACCACCCACCCTATTGAACAACTCTACACCATACATCAAAACCACATCAAAAGCAGAAAGAATCCCCACCTACTTGGTGCTCTTGAGGGTTTCGCAAGAGTTTTCTCTGGAGCCCCGTTCGTAGCGTCCTTGCTCCGTTCGTAGCGATGCCAGGAGCCCCGTTCGTAGCGAACCTTGTTACAACGGTTCAACATCTGTGCCACACGGCCACTGAGGTCAGCGGACAAGGAGATCTGCCGCCATGGTTTCGTGGGTCATGGGAGGTTGGTGCTCCTCCCTTTGAGACATTGCCTGTTTCTGGCTTAGGTATAGAATCATAGCAGGGATCTCACATGGCCTACATTGAGCGTTTCTTTTCAGAATCCCGTGCATCTGGAAGCGCGGATCTGGCCAGAGTCGCCGATGCCGTTGCACTGCATGGGTCAACACACCTGAAAAGGCTGGTTCCAGTGCGCATGTTCACCAGCTTCGACTGCGTCTTCTCAGGAGTCGCCGGTGGTGGATCAGCGACTTGAGCAGAGATTTGTGTGAGATTCGTGGTCAGTGGAAAGCAATGCCGTGATGTCTCCTTGATTATCATGGTAAGAATTTGCGCTATGCACTGTGTTTGTTACACAGCACCCAAGACAAACTGCCCTGTTTTGATGCCAAAACGGATCAGAAGCAATGCCTGAACTTTGGCTATTGCATGGTTTGCGGTCACAGGTTTGCGGTCTGGTAGGTGGGAACCTGTGGGTCACTTGACATGCAACTGTTCAGTTACGTTTCGAGGACTCGTTCGAGCTTTCTCTACAAGTCCAGTCTGACCCAGTAAAACCATGTAAAACCCATTCTTTTACCTCCTTGCCAGTCGGTTTTTTTTTGCATGACCAACTCCAAAGAAATGAGTTCTTCGACCTGGAAGGGTGTGATGTTTGCCGTTTCAAGCATTCCTGCAGTGACTGGACCTAGAAGTTGCCGGTGGAAAGGATTTTGCAAGACTTACTGTAGAAACTCATATCTATGGCCGTTGAAAAGAAGCGGCAGTTGCCTTGGCCTTTTTTCAGATCGTCTTTGCGGTTTGCCACTTTCTTGACCTGACCGCCCCAGGTCTTCAGCCATCTTGCTTCAAGAAGACCATTTGAAGCGATTTATCTGAAAGCAAGACAAAGGGATGAGGGAAGGGATGGGAAGGAGCATCTTGGTGACAATGGAAGGGTTTCCTGTGAAACATGAAAGGACGCCGCTTGAGAACCTCAAGTTTGCCAAACGTTCGCCATGTCTTCAGACACTCTCCTAAACAAGAAGCTACTAGGTGGAGGATGGTGGAGGCCATCGCTAGTAACAAGAAGCTGGTATGAAGAATGATCGAATCCATTTTTTTCAAAAGATTTCAATTTGAAGAGACTCTCCATCACCTCAGGCGTTGCCGATCGCTGGCCAACTGGTCGGCCCGGCGACAGAGCCTTCTAATTGGTGAGCAGGCAGCCTTGAAATGCCTCTCTGCCTGGTGCCCTGACCGCATCCCATCTGGCCATCTGGGAGAGGGGTGGATCACTTGGCTGCGCAGCAGCTGGTTCAACGGGTCGGGTCTCGCCTGCCTTTTTCTATGTTGGCCGTGTGCGATGACCAAATGATGTGGAAGCAGAAGAGGTTTTTCGAGGTCACCCTGGTTTGAAGCTTTTCGCGAGGTGAGATCCTCAAGGAGTAGTGAGCTAGAACTCAGGTATTCTGAACTAGTTCAAAAGGTAGAATGTAATTTTTGGGATATGTGAGCCTCGGAGAAGATTGTGAGTGGTGGGTTGAATGGTTGCTTTGTGCCACGCGTTTTCCAAGCTAAGTCAGATTGCACTAGCATGTTACTTGATTGCATCTGGATTTTCCTTGGCCCTGCCAGATGGGTATTTATTGATTAGGATCATCCAATGTGAACCTCCACCCTGAAAGTCGGGCCGCGCACACACACACACACGCCATTTCAGGCGGAAGTGCGCCTTCGCCCGGTCGCGGGAGCGGATGGCGCAGTGGGCGGCGAAGGAACTGGAGAGGCAAGCGAAGCTCGAAGCAACAGGAGTCGATACGTCGGATGGACCGAGAAACCACAGCATCTGTCGAGGATCGTCGCACCAGTGCGATGCACGTGGCGCGTTTTTATGAATTGAAAGGTGAGGGCGAGGCGCCACTATGCGCCACTTGGGGTCCCTGTGACTTCCTTGTTGAGGATGATTGAAGGGCTAGAACAACATTTATGGATACAAGAGCACTCAGCTTTGGATAAAGGTGGCACACTGGGGAAGTAAAACTGTTGAGTCCTTTGGACCGTAAGGGACTGGACTTCGGCCAATCAACTGATTGAAATGCAATGGCAACCTGTGTTTTGTGATTTGATGTCATTTGTCCGGTAAGATTCTGGAACTAAAAGCAGTTCAAGACTAGCCCAGATGAAGTGATTGGAAGCTCCCCCCCGGTTCATGGCGGCTACATCTGCTTGGATCTTCCTGCATTTGTTTGGTGACGTATGGGTATGGGTACATTGAACATGTGTGCCATCAACTGGTTGACGTGGATGGACTACAAGGACCACCTCAAGCAGTCAACAGCAGCTTTCAAACAAGCCAATCGCAGATGTTCAGCAGGGGTTCGTCATGGCGTCCTTTCGCCTGAGCTGTCGACGGCCGAGGAATCATGGTTTGCTGCTCTACTGCTTCTTTAGCAGCTTGGATTGGAATGTCACCACAGGAAGATGGCGCCTTGATTTGCTCCTTACATCGCAAGCTCCTGCTTTCTGCAGAAGCTGAAAAAACAGCAAGGTTGGTAGTCCAATGGGTGGATGGTTGAGTTTGCTGCCAGATCTCCAGATCGCTTTGTTGCACGGTTAAGGTGTCTTCAAGGAAGAACTAGACACGTCTAACCAAGCATCGCCAAGCCTGCATCCCTCCTACGTCCAACAAAAACAAGAGCAGTAGCAGCACCACAAGCCGTGCCACAGGCCCACACACCTATGCAAACCATCCCTGGAAAGTCGACATCCTATCATTCTGACATCCTCCCAGATCTTTCAACTGTTTCAACTTTCGATGCGACAGACACCTCAGAGCCTGGACTTGGCGCGCTGGATGAACCAGGCTACCGGCGCTTCGTGAAGGGCCAACGGCGCCCTGGCACCCTGCTGAACGAGGTGAGTGCGGGACGGGGCAATGGAGGTGAACCAGGTGTTCATCGATGTTCTTTCCGGAGACCAAAGGCTAGATTCCAGATGTGTTTTATTTTGGGGACGGTAGAGAATCTGATAGGTGTTGTCTATGTCATATTGGCTCGATTGCTGTTTTCCTGGTGGGCAGCCATTTCTTTGTGTCGGTCTATATACTTCTCTTCGACGTTCTGCTAGGAAGATGCCCCACCTGACGGATCGCATCGCGAGGAGCGAGCATAGAGGGGCGAGACCTACCTAGGTGTTCAAAGCCTTTGCTGGTTTGAACATGTTTGAAAGCATGATATTGTAAACATGTTTGAAAGCAATAACATCGAGAAAGCACCAAATGAAACAGCTCAACACCAAAACGATTCGAGATGTTGTTATTGTATTTGCTTTGAGGGGTCAGTAGTTGTTGATCCTTGTTTTTTTTGATATTTTGTTGCTTTACTTAGTTAATGTGGTTTGTGTTTGTTTCTGCATGTTTCTTCAATCCGGATGTTGAGTGGCCAAATGTTCTACACCGGTGCTTGTTAGATACAGATAATTTGTAGGCCTCCACCAACCCACTGCGGAGCTCTCTCAACACTCACAGAGGAGCTCAGCCTGCTGACGCCAGCCGCGTTATGTGTGGAGCCCAGTCTGACGGCCAACTCCACAGCCATTAGCATCACTGTCAAAACAAGTCACACGCCCATTTGAGGAGAACATCTTCAGTGTTCTTCAGGAATCGCTGGTGTAAAGATCATTTGGAAGTGTTTGTGTGGAATCGCATGTGCGGTCGGAGTTCAGTCTGTTGCAGGAATAGATTTCTCCATCCGCCACCTCCATCCACTACTGTTGTCTTATCTCATTGGTTGATGGGGGTTCTACTTCCTGTCTACTTCCTACTTAACGAGTGGGGACCTCACTCCACAAAGCCAGCTCCGCTTCGCTGGCAGGTAAGGCGGCCTTCCACCAGAATGCCAGCCGCCGACTCCGGTGTGTGGGGCCGACTCAAACGGCAGGAAGGCTTCAAATGGCCCGTTTGCCTATTGTTAGGTCTGAAGAAAAGGTGATTGGATGAGAAATCCTTCCGAAAGGTGAGGAATCTCACATGCGTCCTTTGGTATCCATTTGTGGAAGCCAAGTCATGTCCAACATCGTATGAGGCCACAGTTTGATAACCATTCTGGAGCGGCGAAGAGACCTGAAAGACCCTCCGAAGTTGGCTGAATTTGAAGTTGGAGGTCGGATTTTAAGAGTTGTTTGAAGTTCAATGAGGTCAATTTTAAGAGTTTCTTGAGTCACTTGAGACGTTAAGCTGAGTTGAAGGACGTTGGCAGACACACCGCCGGGTTCGCGCCGAGGCCACCATTTGGTCGGCCTGGAGATCGGCGGCCTACGACCTGCGACAAGACCGCGCCTGGAAGCCCTGCGGTAGAGCTGTTGGCCGTCGCAGACCGACACAGCGGTCGAAAGAGTTCTGGAGATCAAGTGATCAAGTATATAAGTGGAAAGAGAAAGAAACTTTGGTGAGAGACTCAGACCTAAACCGGGGCATGGTTCATGTATATGGTTAATGTATGTGAACGTATTGGCTGCCTTTGGCCCGCTCAAGGTGGCCGTTGCTTTGCATCATCGCTTTGAGCAGGAGATGTTCTGTGATGAGTAGGGGCTGCTTAAAGGCGTCAGAAATCAGAAGCCGAGGATTGAGTCATCCAAAGAATTCATGTGGTGGAGAATCGGAATCTCCAAGACCCTTTGATACACTGGAGCATATCCCAGACACAGACCAGGTCCAGGTTCTTGCGACTGATCCAGGTGTCAGAACAGAACAATTGTTTCCCTCAGATCCCCCCCCATGCATGCCATGCTCCGCTCATTCTCACCACCTAGCCACGATGTATTTGGCAATGCAGATCCATTTTGGGGTGTCTTTCAATTCTGTGCACCGACTATTTGGAGATCCCCACGATTGGTGGAAGAATCAACCTGTAGACAACCTGCGAAGCGGGTGTGGGGTCCTTTGATGTGTTTGATCATCGCCAACGAGCCATCTCAGCACGATCTTCCGAACAATGGTCTTGTACTCGCCAACGAGCCCACAGCAACCGCCTGTCCCCCCCGAAAGTGCTTCCCAACCCCTAGGGCTCCTGGCCTTACTACTAGGAGCAAGGACGCTACTAGTGGGGCTCCTGGCCTTTCTGCTAGGAGCGATCGGACGCTACTTATCTTCACATGATGTCACGCGATGCCCTTTGGGGAACTCTGCCACATCCCCCCGAACGCCTAGCTTAGCAGGAGCATGACTTGATGGACCAGCGGATCGTCTTCTTCCGAGTTGGACGTCCCAGCAACCATCAAAGCTGCGACAACGCACTGTGAGGGCACCGGTCGGTAGAAGTGGGTAGGGTGTCAATCAAACAAACTCAAACCATTGAATCATTGCATCAGTGAACAATGTCCTTACGTCTTCAGTTACTATATATGTGTGTCTGTGTTATTTTCGTGGGATGTTTCGTTTGAAAACGGATGTTTTAACGTGACTCGTACCCACACCGCTCTGCCTCTCCGCCCCCCTCCGTTTTCTTTGAGATTTGCTGCAGGTCGGTTGTTGCTGCGTTCGGTAGCGTCCGATCGCTCCGTTCTCGGTAGCGTCCTCTTGTTCCGTTCGTAGGTCAGGCCAGGAGCCCCGAACTCGTAGCGTCCGTCGGGTAGCTGTTGCAAGATCCAGAAAGACTTGATCCGATTGTTGGTGACGCGATTCCTGCCACGCTACTGCAACTTCTGCAACTGATGCATGGTGGATTGCGGAGCAACCTATGACAGCACCATGCCAGTTGAGTTGAAAAATGATTTTTAGAGGCACAGGCCAACGAACCACGAACCCCATCAAAGTGGTCTATGAATCCTGAGGAAGGGGCGGCACCGGCACTTCTAGCAATCATCATCAATCATCTCTTTTTTCGCATCCTCACCAACTGCCTGCAACATTGCGGCGGTAACCAAAAGTTGATTTTTCACCACACCGGAGCGTGACCCTTTGCCTTCCCTGAGACTGAGGATGTTGTGGTGAAGGCTGAGATGCCGATGGGGTGACAAGAACTGATGTTGGTCACCAGAAGATTCCGATGAGTTCCACTGAGTTCTACAAAGGGGCATCATAAGGATTCGTTGGATTGAGTCCTTTTTAAGGGGAGGCTTCTTGGTGCGGTTCTAGAATTTGGCCGGACAAGACTATGGACCTTCCAAGCGCCGTGGAACAAGCAAACACCTTCTCTTGATCTCTTGTTTGGGCGGCAGCAGGGGGGAAACGGCCGCCAAGTTGTGCTATGTCATGCTCGCAAGTCCTCACCAATGTGATTTTGTTGCAGAAGAAGTGCTGGGGAGGTGTTGGTGCTGGTGGCACTGCAGCTGCTAGAGGGTTTATATTGGGGAGCAACATGGAGTTAGATGATCATTCGCATTCGACATGCACCTCCAAATGAAATGATCTGTGTTCTGATGTTCGGCATGGCCCTTCTCCACAGGTCTGAAGTAGAAGATGCTCAGCCTGTCAGGAGAAGCTGCGAAACCAAGCGACACTCCTCCTCCGGTGCCAGGGCCATAGTTGAATATAGTGCCAGGACCAAGTCTGAGGCCCCAAGAAGCACCTCGAAACACATTTGAACAGACCACTTTAGGACTCAGTTTGAGATCATGTTAACCTCTCCAAGGGCTCTGGCATGTGTAGAATAAGCTTTCCAGTGGAGAATTTTGGAAGACGACTTCACTTTTCAGAAGAAAAGGATGCAACGTGTGCCAAAGCTTCCCCATGGTGTGGTTTGAGTTCCTGTTCACCGACAAGTCGTCATGTTTTCGTTCCATTTGTTTGGTCTGAAACATGCGTAGAGAGAAATTCGCACAGAAACATGCAGCCAGATGCTTCGGCTCAGGGACCTTCGACGCACTCATGCGGTGCATTGTCATGGGGAGAGCACCTCGGCATACCTCCATTGGGGGGGTTGGACCGAATTCACGGGGGGCATGGAGGTGCTGGAAGATACCTGGAGCAAGGACGCCACGAACGTAGCTCCTGGCCTTACTACTAGTAACAAGAAGCTACTAGGAGCAAAGGGCATCGCTACTAGGAGCAAGAAGCTACTAGTAGCGCCTGGCATTACTACTAGTAACAAGAAGCCACAGCAGGAGATGGGGTCGACTCATTTACTGTATTTTCTATAATTTGCAGGGGGTGTGGCTGGTGGGGGCTCCTTGTTTTGAGATGTTTTGAGATACACCACGGCCAGCCATGACCATTCATTCTTGGTCACTTTGGTTCAAGGAATATGTGCTCATTTATTTATTGTGTCTTGGTTTATGGGATTGCAAATTGTTCACCGTGCCCTCTTAACAAACCCCCATGTCATGTCTGAACGCCACCCGTGAAACGCGATAAGCTTTCTTGAGCAACAGGTTTGCCATTTGCTTGGCCTTGTTGTATCCTGGATACATCCACTGCCTGTGGATGTTGCCACGAACCAGTGGAGAGCGTTTTGTGCCTCGCTGATCTCTGGATATTTCCCTACTTTGTACTCAATTGTCGCCCCTCTTGTACCCAACCAAACAATCCAATACAGTCAAATGTTCAGCACTGGTGAAGCATTGAAATGGAATGGGCAGAGAGATCCAGCTGTTTGTTCCACATTGGACACGGCGTGGTCTTTTATTCTTTCTCACACGTGCTGTACAGGGTCCAACTGAATCAAGCAGCTCTCAAGCTAGAAGCTCTCTGCGTTGACTGCGTTGACCACGATCAACCCGCTTCTTCGATCCTCCGCGCCCAGCACAAAGCACGGAGCCAACGAAAGGAAGAGGAGTGATGCTCACTGGAAGGGGGGGGCCAGCGCACGGAGCCAGCGACAGTGGTGTTTAACCTTGGTGGCTGACTGTGGGTGCCACCACACATCAACTCGACTCATCAACGAGCACATGCACAAGCCATGGTATACCGTAGTACGTGACTTATTCACAGGCGTCAGTAGGAAGTCAGTCACTACTCATGAGTAGCAAGGCTTTGAGTGGCAGTTGAAGGGAGTTGAAGATTTAATGGCAAGATGTTCAGGTGTTTTGATTCTATCAGTGGTGCATGTTTGATCGATTTTTCCAAGAATCCGTGAGACGTGGGAAGTGAACAGATTCCCTTCTTGAGGCCAACCCCTTGACTAGGATAACCGACCATGACGTCTCGTCCTCGCCATGAGCGTCACCCCCGTGTCTCAGACGTTGGAAGCTCTCTGATACTGGTGGCTAACCTCAAATGAAAGAACATAAAAGAACTTAGCCTTAAATTCAGGAGCTTTAACCTTTAACCATGTCCCACTTCGAACTGAAGAGTAAACCTCACACATTGTTGCAGGCCTATCAAATATCTACCGGGTTGTTGCTCGTTTGCTCCAGGAGCTCCAGAGCATGTTCACGGATGCTAAGCGTACGATGGTTGGGCGTCCTGACCTTTTCAGTTTGGCCTTGAAGGGTGTTGTGAGAGCCAAGGGTCTCGCCCAACCACGTCATCGGCTGAAGACTAAGAAGACCAAGAAGACCAAGAAGACCGCAGATTGGTGATAAGTCACAAGAGGTAGCAATCAAAATCAGAGATTGGTAGCTCCGATCCAAATCCGCTCTTTGAAGTTTGTCGTCTCAGCTGCGATCCTTGGTGACCTCTTCTTCGACCGAGGATCATGTGTCCAATCGGACGATCGCGATCCTTGAGAGAAGGTGCGAAGGCCAAGGTGAGAAGCTGCTGTGTTGCGACTTCGAAGTCGCAACTGGTTGATGATCATATGTACTATGATGATACTTTACATTTGGTGAGATGTCGCCGATGTCGCTGTGAGATTGATCAGCCATTTCCTGAAATGAACCTGACTAATTGTTCAAGTGTCTCCCTCTACCTTCTTCTCCAACAGCCAGAGGCATTCCACCCAAATAGACTTCACTTCACCCCACAGAGGGAGACACCCAAAGGGCGCCCTGGGGCGCCCAGAGACTGTCGCGTCGCGGTGGGAGACTGTCGCCTGAGGTGTCAAGATCCAAGGCCTTGGACCTTGAAGCTACTGCTGCACCTTTGGGCCTCTTGGGTTTGGACCCGGGAGGGCGAGCCAGGACGACGTTACGTGGAGAACTGTGTGGAGGATGGGAAGGGAGGGACCCTTGACATGCCATTAATCAAGAGCCAGGAGGAGCTCTTGACCATAAGTGGGCTCTGCAGACACGTGTGCTCCCAAAAGCTAAGATGAACCATGACAATAGATGCTGAGAAGACCGTTTCGTGGCTGTTCCACAAGACGACAAATTATGGTTGACCCATATTGATTCCTGGAGCTTGTGAGTCTCTTAAGCTCATTTAGGTATACGGAATCCATTCTTCAGGTCTTGCACACCGAGAATTCCAAGGAGCAGTTCCAGAAGCAGGTGAGATTGGCACTCCATAAGTCAGGATGGATTGGGGCACACCATGGCCCTTCCACAGCTTTAACAAGCTTTGACATGCCTAGTGGCTTGACTCGACCAGAACTTCCTTGGATGATCTTGGATGTGTCCCATGAGCGTTCAGGGGAATATCTCTAATGTTGCTTGTTTCGCAACAAAAACAATCATGGCTGGACTGGGCAGGTTTTGAAGCTCCCCCGAAAAGGTTATACAGCGGGGCGTTTTGCGGGGCGTTATGCGTGTGTATGTGTATGCGCAGCTGACGTGGAGCACGTGAGTTATAGACACCGACGGTCCAAGTCTCAATGGTCCAAGTCTCTTAGGTCGAGGGCCTTCAAGTTTCAACACACTGGTGTAGTCGGGCATACTACCATACGCAACAGAAACAGATGTGGTCATTCATTCAATGTCATTCGTTTGTTTGGCTGAAAGCAGATCTCAAAGCAGAGTGCTGGGTTGCTGGTTGGCAAAAGTATCCTCGAGTTTGCAGGCTGTGCAACACCGCCTGGATGAAGCACTAGCCGAGGCGGAATGCGGAGTGCACGCGTGCGGTGAAATGCGGTCAATGTAATGGGTGCCTCAAGATATCTCAAGATGCTCGTGGGGAGACCTGCAATCATGGGACGTCCATGAGTGCTGGGAAAGTCTCCGCATGAGAGCTGGCTTTGTCGCCGGCTTTGTGGAACGTCAGAGCTCTCATTCACGACGTTCCCACGAGAATAAGTGTTCCGTCATTGCCAGAGAACCTTTGACTCTTTCTCTCAATTCTTGCATCTGCTAGACAAGAATGATAAGCTTAGCAGAAGCTTTGCCAGGGCCGCCAACCCAGCTTGCATTCTATTTTGCTTCTTAATGGTAGCTTAGCTTTTGGCCAAACCAGTGTTTAGTTGAACCGTTGAACCGCAAAGGCACTTGCATGATCCTGCATGGATGATCCTACATGGGTTCTGTTGCGTATATTGAATGCTGACATGTTTGCCGTTTGCCGTTTGCCTTGTGAACCGGTTTTTGTGTGTGTGTGTGTTCCTTTTCTTCTTCCTTGCTTTCACCTCATACATGACATTTCACCAGATTGGTTTCTTCCAAGGTGCCTGGAGATTGCTAGCATCAAGACACTCGTCGCTTTTTTACACCCTGGGACAATCTCGGAGATGCGAACACCTGCAAAAAAGACTGCACAGACAGCATCCAGCAATTCTCTCTGGAGACCAAACAGGAGACCAAACATGTTTTTTTGATGTGTGTTGCAATTGGCAGTCTGATATTTCTGCAGCAAGCGCAACCCCCGCCTGGCACACGACCGGTGTGGGACCTCGTGGGACCTCGGCTCGGTTGAGGTGGCCGTGATCTCTCGGCGCTTCGGGGTGCCCAAGGTCCAAGCCAAAGAGGCCGGAAAGCGATCAAGAACAACGAATACCGGATTCGGGTTCGGTTCGCAGCCTTTGTTTGTGTTTCAAGAGTTATATATATATATATATGGTTTTGAGGTCATGTGTTTTTGCTTGTTCAAAGGTTTGGATCCGTTGTCCCTTTCTTTCCCTTTTTCTCCAATAGGGCCTATAAGCATCGGATTTCAGACGGTATACATTCACTTGGACTGAAAGTGTTTGGCCACGGCCCTGTAGAGGAAATCAGCGACCATGTGGAACTCGATATCTTGAATTCCCTTTGGGGTCGGAGTGTTTGTTCCGTTGGTTTGTTCCCGGTATTTGGTGGAGCGCAGCTGTAGCATCTTCCAGGTACACGGGTGTATAGCCCAATGCAAATGTATATAGATGACGAGCCTTTCTTTGGAGTCATGACCAGACAGGGTGTTGAGAGCAGTGTTTAGTGACGTCCCAGGATTGGCTTCTAATTGTCCGACCTTACTACTCTACACAACCTCCCAAAGGCAACACGCCAAGTCCTCTCTTTGGACACTAAAAGTGCGCCAAGTCCACACTGCCAGGAGTCCATCACTCCACTAGCTACTTGGTTTGCATCAAGGTGGAGTCCGTGAGACAATTGGGGCAATGCACAATACTTCTATTCAGGACGCCACTTTTCTGCGTGCTGTGCCGCAGAAAACGACTGGCTCTTTATCCCATCAAAAGCTTCAAACTATATACCCCTGAGAGCCGGCACTGGCTCTACAATAGCAACAGCAACTGCAAACACAAACTTGGCGCAAGTAGCCCCGTCAAAGGGATGTCATTGCCTGTTCATTGCCTATTGGCGTTCACAAGTTTCAAAACGTTGATTTGCCAGATTTCCGAGTTGGACCGAAGTACTTGTAGTCAAGAATGCGAGCCGGTGCCTAAGGAAGAGTTTGAAGCCGCTGGGCGCGCAGCTTTGAGCATCTATGGGCAACGGCGGCAACCGGCAACTTGACTGTTGATATGTTGGAGTCCGCTTGCACAAGAGATCATGTCCATTGATGGACGTATCCTGTACACCGCAGAGTTGTTTCATCTTGATGTCAACTGCTCCTAGAGTGTGCTGCATTTGACTGATTTGACATGCTCTTTTTCAGACATGATCATGTCTCTTTAAATGACTTTCTTTGGACTCTGTAGTGCATCTCCAGTATTGACGGCCAATGTCCATACTGTGGAGGTTGAATGACTAGAATCTAGAAAAGGGGCGTGAGGATCCAGGAGTTCCAAGTGCTTTCTTTGCATCCAAAGTGACAAAGTTGGTTTGCAATATCCTACAGTAGTTGATTTTATCAAACATCAGTTTTGAATTGCCTGCCAGAGGAAATTGGAGAAAACATGTTGTTTGAGTGGTTCTATGAGCTTTCATGTTTGTTTCATTAATTGATACTTCTTTGGATATGGCGTTCGAACATGCCAGCCAGCTTTGAGGGCAGCTGGTCTTGTGAATCTAAGGGGAATGATCCAAGCCCATGGGCATCTTCTTCCGTCTATGCGCCAGGGCCCCAGCGTTTTACATCAAAGGTTCCGCAGATATTTGGCAGCGGTGGAATTGTCGAAGCGGTTTGTAGCAGGTTGTTTAGTGCAGATTGACTTGTAGACAGGATCTGAAGCCACCTAAAGTAGTCACGGCAGCTGAAAGCGAACTCCAGCTCTTCCCAACCATCTTCGGCAGAGCAAAATCCAAGGTCTTCTGACGGCCCCAGCTTGCCGAACAACAAAGACTTTGTCGGGGCTGCAAGGGGCGTCGGAGTAAGCGTAGCATTTGCTGTATCGATATCCCGTACAGGCCTTGGCCTTGGCTTATGGTGAATGTTACTTATTGTATTCTGTTATGTGGCTTGGGTGTGAAGCGACCCAACCGCTAAGCAAACAGGCTATGCAAAGAATATTGAATAATGTTAAAGATATCAAAGGACTTCCTTGACCCAAGCTCTGTCCAAGTTCACACAAGGGGGCCATGATCAATTAATGCCAGGTTCCCCAGTCCGATTTGGCTTTATTGGACTCCAGCATTTAGCCATGGAAACCGTGTTCTCCTTTTGTGGACATGGGTATGCTGCTAATTTGCTTAATTTCATGCTAGGTCGCATAGATTCAACCAATTTGCCTTGTGACCAGTGCTCAGCAAGACTGGAGGCAAGCACGGCCTATCTCCAAAAGGCGAAAGAACCAGGCACCGGGTCGTGTGGGCTGGGAAATGCTGCATGGCTGGCGACGAGTGACAGCTTTAGCCATGTTCTGCTCGAGCATGGCTGGCGTTCACGTTTGTTTGGACCATTGCCCAATACTCACATTGTCCACTCTCATGATGTGAACGGGGATCTAAGTCTGCCCAGTACTCGAAGAAAATCCCTTTCCCTGTCATATCCTTGCTGGTACAGGTCTACATTTTTTCTCTTGTCAAAATGTAATCCTCCTTGTGACCAAAGACTTGGAACATTCCGCCCCAGGACCCCTGGAAGCGCCTGCCTCCATGTGCAAGCCTTGGAATTGAGTTTGGTTTCAACATGACGGAAAGCTCTTTTGGCTCATCCATGACAGTCAGTCCTTTCTGTCTCATTCAACGACCGACGAATCCGGTTGTAGATTGGTTACGCTATTTCATGCTATTTCCATCAGCCTTCCTCAGTCCAGAACAGCTCCCTTGATTTAGGTCCATTGGCACCAATTCAGCACTCTGGGCTCAACTGGACGAGCCAGGGTACCCAAGCGGGTCGGTTTGCTGCTGAGGAGTGAAACACACAAGACGAACGATGGAAGTGACCAGATCAGGGGGTGCAGCATTCCTTTGTTCAATGGTATAGTCTGGTAAAAGGATTTCTGTAATGCGACCATGAATGATTGCTGCAACCTGCAATCAAACGACCGTTGAGTTTGTTTTGTTCGGAAGCCTGGGCAACAGCGAGATCAGTGTGCCACACGGATATGAAGGGCATAGACATCTTGAAGAGACGCAGACACTGTGGGAGTCGTTATTGGCACAACCTTGACTCCGGGGAGTGTCATTTGCCGGGAGCTGCATGGGGACGCCACCAATCACCACCAACCCAAATGATCACGCATCGAGATTCCTATGTTGCTTGGAGAACAGGGTTCGTTGGTTTTCTCTCAGGCACGTAGTGTACGAATTGCAATGAACATCCACTGACCCTATTTTGATCGAATTCAGAAGTGTTTGATGCTTAGCTGCTTCCGTCTGAATTGCCTGACGACTGTCTTTGCGCCTAGCAACATGTACGTTCGAAAACGGGAAGAGCTAAAGAGACTTCTATCATATTGTGATGGAGCTAGCTAGTCAGCTAGTACGCCCCAGGCTGGATGGGCATATGGTACGGGCCCTGGGCAGAGCGTAGCTGGGTGGTTCTATGGTTGGCCTTCCGAGCATAGAAGCCAGGGCCTCAAAAGAGTTTTGCGCTTCATGCAGGAGGGTGCTCATCGTGTTCATGCTGTGAGGAATGGAAAGTCCAACGCAGGCTCCAGGAGATCCAGCACCCAGCTACATGTTAATGTTGGATTATCTCATCTCCAGAGGCTTTTCAGTAGACAAAAGAAAGTTGTTTGGGCCTTTTTGTTGGTTGGTACTACGTAAGAAGGACTCATGAAGGCATGCAAAGTAGAACACCCTTCCTTTTTTATCATACATCTGTATATGTGGCTGATGTGGTGGAGCCGAAGAAGGGTTGGAAGAAGGATCACCGATCACCACCACTGAGGCAAACATGTCAGGAAGAATCTGACATTGACGTGAGGTGCCAAAGCTCCGCGAGGGTGCGCAGCATGAGGGTTGAAAGCTATGAAAGCTCATGTTTTGCATAAGGAGGCCTTTTCTGGCAAGGTAAATTGAGATTGGTGGTGTGGTAGCTAGAAAGTGGCCGTCGTTGGGTTTTGCCTCAAATGCAGGTTTGGTCGCAGACGAACAAGGGGGACCAGCAAGGGGAGCTAAGTGAAGCGCAAAGGTAGCTTGGTAGACGTGACGATTGCGGGACGCACTTTCCAAAAGAATTGCTCGCGTTGCAGAGGAACACTTCCAGCACCATTTGGATTTTGGCATTTTGGCTGAGTTTGTCAAACGCTAAATTAAGAGTCAGTCAGACTATTCAGCTTGGGCTTTTTGGCTTTGCCACACAGAGTCATACACCAAAACTGAGCTGAATGTAGTGTTGTGTGACCTGTGAAAGTGTGAATGGATGTGCAGCATCTCAAAGCTCAAGGCAACTCCCAGATCAGAGCGAAAGTTCTGGCCATTTGATGCCGGACCTTCCGAACGGAGCTGGACTGCAGAGACTGTGAAGCCAACACGGTTTCCCATGGCGAGGGAGATCGACATGTCTGAAAAAGAAAGCAGAGAGCGCTTTCATTGGTTTTGCGGTGCGTTTGTTTTTGCGTTTGCTTTCGTGGCCCTTTGTGGAACTCTTATGGTGTTTGTGGGAGCCAAATTGAAAAACACTCGCAAGAACAACCATGAACTGCTCAGTTTAACAGAGGAAGGCCAACTCGAATCTTCAGAGGACCTCCAATCCCACAAAGGACTAGACCTTTCTTCGTTAGCATGAGCTTTGGAGTGACTGCTGCAACCAGCTTTTCTGCGTGCTGCTGGAGTTGGCAGACAGGGGCTTTCAAAGTCCACAGGCCTGGATTAGGAGTTGTATTCAGGGCTGTTTCTTTTGGTTTGACATTGGATCCTGTATAATTTGAAATAACATAGATAATATTATCTAAAATATAATCTCTATATATATATCGATTTAAATATATGTTTAGATTTTATATATATATTTAATTGTAGATAAATTGAAAAATTATAAATAATTATATATACATAATAACATTAATATAAACAATTCTTAATGTATAGTAAATATAATATATGTTAATAGTAATGGGACGATAATACAATATAAATATGTATAATATATTTTAGAGTGTGATATTAATATGGTATTTAAAATGTTCGTAGAATAAAACGGAAAATAAATATGTATTATCGTTATATATCGTTATTTAATATTATTTATGAGGGAAATGATAATGTTTTATATTGTTTATTGAATAAATTCATATTATATATAGGTTATTAGTTATATTTATTTTAAGGTTGCGAATTTTGAAAGATTAATATTATAATAAAAGATTAGTTTATTATATCGAATTTTGGAGGAAAAAATAATGATCGTATTTATGATATTATATTTATTGCGATATTATGCGCATTTGGTATTCGCCGAAACCGGTTTATCGATTTAAATTGGTTTACACCGGTTTATCGATTTACACCGGTAAAGGAATTATTGTTGGTAGGGTATGTAGGTGGCCCATGTGAGCGTTTTAGGTACGGACTTTTTAATGGATATATTAATATTAATATGAATTGTTCCTATTTTGTAATTGTTGGTCTTATTGAAGGGGATCTTATATATTGAAATATTATTTTTTTTTTTTTTCCGGCACTTTATGTTTTTATGTTATGCTTAGTGCGAACACTTCGGAAGAAGATGTTGAGCTTGAGCTTAACTTTTATTGCGAAGTAGCGATAGTTTAGGTAGATTAGACTTAGGGCTATATGAGGCTACTAAAGATAAGCGATAAAAAGCACATGTTTTACGCTGGCCGCAAATACCACAGTTAGGTTTTTCTTATTGTGAGCCATTCTCTAAACCCAGCAAACCTGTAAATTTCCGTAAATCCGCGTAAACCCGCATAAACCCGTAAATCCGCGTAAACCCGTAAACCCGCGTAGATCCGCGTAAACCCGTATAAACCCGCGTCATCCAATTCAAACGCATTTCCCGCTGCACGGGTTATTTTTGTTGAGATTGTTATTATGTTATCTTTATAAAATGGAAGGACCGTTTTATTGGAGATGATTTTTGTTGGATTTGATATTAGTGAATGGGGAATATAAAAAGGATTATAAAGAGATTTATAAATTATATCGTCGAAATTATATTGAAAAAAAAAATATATATATATATCCAAATTATTATAAATAGATTATTTTTTGAATATGTTATAAAATATGAAATGAAAGAAATTCTATTTATTGAAAATTAAATGAAAAATTTGGTATAATATTTAATTTATTAGTATATTTATTTATACGATGGATATATTAAATTTTATAGTGAATTGAATGTGTTTTTATAGATGATAAAATATAATATAATAATGAATATAATAAGCGCCATTTCCAGTTCAAGAGTTGTGGGCGTCTTATGGGGCGAGGTGCTATGTTCCGTGTGGTTCTGTATTTGTGATGATGCCTTGGTTTTTTATCTTCATTGTTCCCGCCTTCTCACTGCTGAAGACCGTACTGGAATTCCCGGTCCCAATTCCGGGGGACATGCGCGCAGATGCAAAGCCATTTTATCCTGCCATCATGGCCGGCGCGAGGGTTGCTCAGAGTACCTTAGCTCTGAGCGAGAGTGGAGGACAACCATTGGCTCCGACTCCTTCTTCCACAAAGCTTCATGAGGTATGGGCTTTTGGTGGCTACGGCCAAGTCTTAGCCCGGCCGCGCATTGTACGCATCAAACGCGCTTACAGAAGAGCATGCTACAGGGCATTGCGCCATGGCATGGCTGAATACCGAGGTAAGTTGATACTTCCAGCTGATGTACCATGGAGGTTTCGGGAATCCTATCGACAGTTGCCGCCAGCCCGCAAGGAGCTGATGCCAATTTCCACTGCACCAGGCATACGGTGCATGACGTGGAATGCATCGAAAGCATTGGTCTATGCAGAACTGTTGATATGGGCTTCAGTTCAACCGCTTGACGTCTTGGCAATCCAGGAGACTGGCTGGGGATTCTCAGCCACATGGAGCACCTCTGAGTGGCACTTCACTCATTCAGCGAGCAAGCAAGCTTCCGTCTTGTTGATGGTACGCACTCACATTGCACCAGTTGATCGAATAGCCACAGCTGCATTGCTTGAAGGACGACTCTTGCATGTGCGAATTTTTCTAAAGCGTACAACTGATTTTCTCATTGTTTATCAACACACTTGGAATGCATCCCATGGATCATAACCCCTCCTTCAAAAACGACAAAAGTTATGGCACACTCTCCAGGACTGTTTGAACCATATTCCTAAGGCCCATTATTTGGTTGTTCTTGGAGACTTCAACACGGTTCTTCGTGCTGATCCACCGTTTGTAGGAATTGAAGACCCCAGAAGACATCACAATGTGCACTCGGACAGCCATGTCTTGCAGCAGCTCTTGCGAACTCAGGACTTGATAGCCGTTAACTGTAAAGGGGGCTATCAGCACACATTCACACATGGCACACATGCCTCACGTATAGACTACATCCTGATTCGACAATCGCAGGTACAATATCGTCGCATGCAACCGATCACAAATGCCCAATTCGAAAGGAACTTTGGCATCAATGGACCTCATCATCATCCTTTGCTGGTGACACTTCCCAAGTGGCATGCTCCTCAGACGCTCCACTTTCCGTTGAATCGGATAGATCGATTTGCTATGAGACATGCATATCAGACACAGTTGGATAGTTGGGTCCGTTTTGAGGCTCGTGCACGCCAGTTGATCCATGACATGACCACACTGCCTGGACGCTCCGCTCAGGATTGTATACTTGAACTAGAACATCACCTTCGTACTCTGTGCATCCAATACTTTCCCAAAAGACGTTCCCACAGTTCTGCCCCCTCCCAACTTCTTTCCATCTCCTCCAGGATGTGGAATGCTCGTAGAGAGGCCCTTCGATTCCAAGGCAGATCGTTGCGCGTGTTGTTCAAGTGTTGTGGACATGTCACAACCTTTTTGGTATATCACAAGCAGATCCGGCAGTTTAGTCGTGCTCACAGACGACAGAAACTTGAAAGCATCCTGGCGGAAGGGGCCAACCTGGCCATGCACGGTCAGACCTTTGAGTGGTATCGCAAGATTCGACAGTTCTGTCCTAAGCAACGGATGCGTCGTATTCAGCTGTATGATCCGCATGGTATGCCTCTGTCTCCAACCCAGGAGACACAACAGATTGAACAATACTATACTGCCTTGTACTCAGATGCTCACCTGCCCCAATTTAACACTGAACCTCTCCAAACCGCACCGTTCGATTGTCAGGCTATGATTGATGCACTGAGAGCGCTGCCCAGTACGAAGGCCCTGGCACCTGACGGCCTGCCAGCATTGGTGTGGAAACATTTTGCCACGGAACTTACATGGCCTGTTATGAACACCTTTGTTGAATGTTGGATGGGGTCTCACATACAACCTCCGTCACATTGGACAACGGGTTGGATCCACCTCCTTCCCAAGCCGAACAAAACTCCATTCAAACCACAAGCACTGAGACCGATATGCCTTCAGCATCCAGTCAACAAGGCGTTTGCTGGCATACAGTGTCAATTGATCCTGACACAGACCTTTCCAACCTTGAGACAACTGCCGCTGTATGCTTACCTGCCCTCCCGGGGAACTCGTGATTGCCTTCTCATTGTGGCCTCACATTGCCGACAAGTTCGTGACACTTGTAGTCAATTTCGTTCGAGTCCCAATGCACCGGGTATGCAGGGTGGCTTGCAGATCTCCTTGGATATGGAAAAGGCCTTTGACACAGTAGCCAGATCTAAGGTCCTTCAAGCACTGGATCCATATCACTTCGATGTTGATATTCTTAGAATGATCCACTCCTGGTTGGCACCTCATAAATATTATATTCCATTTAAACAACTCATTGGTCATGTCACCGCATGCAGGGGCATCAAACAGGGATCCAAAGATGCCCCATTGCTTTGGACTCTTGTGATGAGTGCCATCCTCCTAGATCTTAAAGCTAGGTTCTCGCTTGCATGGCTCCGCGACCATGTGATTGTCTATGCAGATGATGTCCATCTCCGTTGGATCATCCAGACACACTCTCATGCCCTGGAGGCATTGACTGAGCTTCAACATGTCCTGGATACATTTAGTGCATTTGGCCTCATAATCAACATGCAGAAAAGTTTTGCTCTTCTTCGCCTGGTTGGTCGCGAAGCCCCTGGCTTCTTACGCCGTTGGGTCCATCGAAAGCCGGATGGCCCTGAACTCATCTTGCCGGAGAAACACTGGCGGCTCCCGTTGGTGTCCAAAACAGCCTATCTTGGTGTGTTTTTGAGCTATCGTGCATTTGACTTTGATACCACCATGCGTCGGATAACGGCAGCCAAATGGTGCTTCACTCAATTCAGGTCTTGGCTTACCAGCACGGTTCACCCCCTCTCGACACGCCTGAAACTCTATAGACAATGTGTCATGGCCACGGTTAGTTATGGCATTCATGAAATGGGAATCACCCGTCGAGGTCTTGCCAAACTTGTCAGCATGATCAATACACACCATCGGATCATGACTAAGTCCCCTGTTTGCCTGACGCATGAATCGACGCAGAGTTTCTTCGATAGGCTTGCTCTCTAGCCACCTTGGACACAACTGCAACAACAGCAGCAGCGTATTCAACAGGCACTGCAGAACAGAGCCACACGATTTCGACTGGAAGCCATGACAGATGTCTCACCTGATGCTTGTGCCTACATCCCAGAC